GGTCTGTGTCTTTCTTACGCTGAGGGCTCCAGAGCTGGACACAGTGCTCCAGGGGGGGTCTCACCAGAGCAGAGTAGAGGGGCAGAATCCCCTCCCTCGACCTGCTGGCCACGCTGCTTTGGATGCAGCCCAGGATGTGTCTCTTGGCCTCAGCTGGCCCTCCTGCCAGACCTCCAGCACCTGCAGGAGCCCTGAATTGGAAAGGGGAGCAAAGGCGTGCAGCTCCCGGGAGGTGTATGGGCCGTGCATGTCTGCTGGTGGGGCACGTCCACTCAGGCTGGCTTTAGCCAATGCTTTTAGCCCCAGAGGGCAGAACAGGGCACGTCAAGACATTTGCAGGTGCGATCAGGGAGGAAAGGTCAAAGGAGCTGGCTTTAGGTCTAGAAAAGGAGGAGGAAGGAATAGGTTAGCAGCCTTCCAAGGAATGCAAGGCTCTTGGAGGATGACTTCTGCACAGCCACAGCACGAGGGAAAGATCGGCCTTACTTGCAGCGTTGTAATAGCTGCAAAGGTGACTGTTTTTTCTCCCTTGCTATCAGGGTAGGAAATCGCCGGGACAGGCTGTGAATCCCCTCCCCAAGGATTTCAGGGCATGGATAACACCCGCTGTGGGTTCAGCTGGGCTGTGCTGGTGCAGAGCTGCGCTGGGTTTCTCCAGCTCTCCTCCAGCCGTTGGTCCTGTGATGCATCTCTGCTGTCCGACTGACCCCGTGCGAGAAGTCGGTCCCATTCCCTGAGGATGCTGCGTGGTGGTGGTGGTGGCATGTCCAAGCTGCTCAGAGGGGAACGGATACTTTCGCTTTTACTTCTGGTTTAGGCACTTTCACTTTCACCTCCTCACAGCCTGCGCAGGGACTGTCAAGGGCCACCTGCCTCTGCAAATGAAACCTGACGTGTCAGGGTTTTGCATGTATTTGTGTGCGGTGCAGACTCTTCCTTAGGGTGGGAACAGATCTGAAGGAGCCCCTTAAATCTGAAAGGGGAGATGAGGGTCACAGCAGGCTGCTGGGCTCAGTGCCACGCTCTATGATTGTTTCATCTCATGTATTTATGTATTACTATGGCAACTTTTCTTTTTTCCCCTTTGGACTTTCATTTTTACACTGCAGCTGAACTTGCAGGGAGGAACAAACGCTTGAGTTATCACCTGCAAAATTGCTGTTTATGTTGCATTTCCAAGAGCTTTTACCCCTGAAAGATACTGAATATCCAGTGCTTTTGCTGATTTAACACCCTGCACCCTCAATATGTGTTCTGCACCCGGTGGGGTTTTTAACCCCATAATCTCTCTTTGTCGACTTGGTGTCTCACATACTCAGCGTGGACACACATGACTGGCTCCCAGCTCGCATGTTTAGACATGGCCTTTCTCATGCTCCAAGACCCCAAACTTGTTTATGATGCAGAGTTGCAAGACGCTATTGGTAGGAGGAGCAGAATATCGCGCCCTGAAAAGTGAGATGGTTTGGAACAGTAGCTGTGAAATTAAATAGCATCCACGGCAGTCCTGTGTTTTTGGGACATAAGGAGCGGTCGAGGGAGCTGGGCTTGTTTAGGCTGGTGGAGAAGATGCTGAGGACGGGGCTGTCTCTCCTCAGAGGATGGCTCCGGACACAAGCATTGTGGTGCTCCAGCAAGAAGCAAAAAGGGACGTTATGTTCAGTCCAAGCCTTTGAGCAGAGCTGTGAGCTGGGACCTAATTCCCTGATCTGATTTACATGGAGGAGTCTGAAGTCCCTGACTGCTTCCTTGAGATCCACAGGATGCAAGAAACACAGACAGAGCAAAATGAAAGACAAGTGAGGAAAAAAGTGAGCAAACTTAACATCCCTTCCTATCCTCATTAGGCTCAAAGAGAGAAAACAATAATACTAAGAGAGAGCTGTAAGACCTCTTTATTTGTCATTTTTCTGCACTTGGGAGCCAAGCTGTGTTCACCTGCTTTTTTTACTGCTTCTAATGATTACAGAGGCATCACCTGAAAGTGGGAGGTTTAGAAAGTGAATGCAAGAGGGCACAAAAGACCCCAGAGCAACGTTAAGACGGGCAAAAGTACTTTTCAAGACTTTCCTTTCTGTGCTCCCGGTTTCCATTCCCACCTGCCCTCTACATGCTTTTCTTAGAACATTTTTAGAGCTGTTTTTCTACTGTTTCCCCCCACTTTTTGCCTTGTCCGGATTTTCTTTTGCTTGGCACAATGCAGACGCTGTCTCCCTTCCCCTGTTAAGCCCCGCAGTGCGGACTGGCTGAACTGGCTTAGAGCAGTGTAGCTAAATGAGTTTAATACGTGCCATTTGAACTGTTATTTTTCCTGTTCCTTGTATTAGATCCTTTTTTGGCCTTGAGTAGTTTGAGAGGAATAACAAGATTTGTGACATAGGCAATGATTCTGTCTTTTCTTCTTTTTAATTGAGGGGAGAAAAAGAAAAAAATTATTAAAACTTACCCTTTAAAAATAGGAGTCGAAACACCAAGTAGGTTGCAGGGTGACAACGGATGCTATCTTGCTCATCACCAGAGGAACGTGGGCCTTTCTGCTTTAGAGGTTAAACCGAGAAATCTATTTGTCCTCAAAAATTTCGGTGAGGTTTTTCTTAAAGAGTGACCAGCATGCAAAACCTGCTCTTCAGGTAGGGCTCGGTGGTTCTACATTTCTTTCCTTATAGATGACTGCTTTATTTTCTAAAGTTTATGGGTTGGAAGAAATAAGCCTTTTCAATGTGTCTATGTTACGAACTCAGCTTGGGATTTGAAATCTCGTAGCTCATGAATCACCACCAGTAATAAAGGTTTTCAAATGTGCAACAGAGACTGAGCCCAGGATTTCCTGTGTTTCTAAGTGGCTGCTTTATTTAATATTTGGATTTTAACAGCTGCAAGAACACAAATACTGCAGGGCTTTCCTTTGTTTCTGTGTCAATATTTAATTTGTCAACTGCTTTGGGACCTCTTCTTGGTGGGATACTGTTAGGAAGTGTTTTACTGGGATGTTTTCCTTTGGAGATGGCGAGGGAATTAGGGCTTTGAGAAAGCTCTGCCTGTTGAGGCTTTGAAGGAAGGCTTGCTCTTATGGTATTGAAAGCCACATTCACTCAAGACCTGAAGATCTTTCTAGTAAAACAGATAACCCTGAGAAACCGAGCATGCACCGAGCTTTTCCTTGTGTGCAGCCATCAAGTCTCACATTCTAAAAGAGCGTGCAATGAATCTAAGTAACTTTTTAACACAAGAGAAAGCTCTGACCTGCTCAGCACAAGAGAAGACTCTGGCCCGCTCAGTATAAAGTTAATTTACCACCAGGCTTTGCTTCTAGCAGTTGCTAATGATTTCTCTTTTTTTTTTTTTCCCTGTTGCAAAGGAAAAACTTTAAGGGCTCACTGGCAAACAGGGAGCTGGTATTCCTCCTGCCAAAGGGCAATTTAACTTTCAGACAAAGACTTGGGGGTTGCGTGGCTGGAGGGGAGCTGCTGCTCTCAGCGGGAGCCACAGAGCTGATCTGCTCCGTGGAGATCTGGGCTTGTTAAATGAGGCTGGTGTGCGATGAGTCACACTCAACTGCTACCTGCCTCTCCTGAGGCAGGTACTGATCTGGGGATGCCCAGAGTTAATATTTGCACCTGCTTTTTGCTTTCTTCCTCCAGGTTTTCATCAGGAGTCGGAAGAGTCAAGTTCCCTTTTGCAGACAGCAGTTTCGGTGCTGCAGAGCGCCTACTTGGACTCTACATCTCAGGACGGTTTTCAGTACAGCCAAGCAATTCTGGTGGAAAATGATGTTTTTCTAAGTGAGGTAAGGCCGGTGGGGGAGCAAGGTGTTGCCGGCAGCTCGGAAAGGGTGGTGTTTCTTTGGGAGCTGCAGACGGCTGTAAATGCTGGTTTATTGGCAAGTCGTTCCTTTGCGGCAGGTGGCTGATCTGCCTGCCTTGTAGAGTCCCATTTGCAGTTCCTGACTTGAAGGGAGCCTTTGCTTTCTTGCACCTCTTCCTTCCCAGTCTGATTGGGAACAAAAGGTCCGTTCAGCCAATGTTGCCAAACATTCAGCAGCAATTCCTGGAGCAGGCCTTCGGGGCAGGTTGAAATGCTGGTTTGATACCTAGCAGGAGAGCTTTAATGTTATTGCACTTCTGCTGATTCACAGCAAGGCAGATTTCCTTGTGGCATTTCTTTTGTCTGCCCTCACACCTGTGCAGGCACCAGTTTTAACCCCATTTCCCTTTTTCCAGCTGACTGGGGCATGTACAGAACCACTTTTAAAATGCCTTCATCCCTACAGTCCAGCTGTCATTGGCATGGAAGACAGGCTGTCTCCTCTGGGGACTGGAGATGACCAGTCTGCTTGCTGTCATGAATGAAATAGAGCTTAGACATTTTGGCTGCCTAAATCTGGGGTAGTCACTATGGAGCTGGATAAAAAAACTGGGAAAGCAGGTATCAAGTCATTTACTGATTTGCCTGTGAGTTCTAAAGCCAAAATAAGCAAAAGCAGTGATGAGACTGTTGTTTTCTTATCTTCTAACTCTGTTTAAAAAAAATCCCATCCTTCTACAACTTCTTTTATTAAAGCCCCAAAACATCATGGACTCAGACCCAGCTCTGTTTGCTCCCATGATGTTGTCCCTGTCTGCACTGAGAACATGCTCTGCTTTAATTATCAAACAAAAGAAATCAGAGTAATGTGTTATTTGGCTGTAGCCAAACCCTCTGAGCTGTAGTTGCATGATAGCACCTGCCCTCTAGTCAAATAGTCTAGGCTTCCCTGGTCAGTGGAGAGAGAAAAAGAGAGGTGCCTCCAAGCATCTTCCCTTCTGTAGGCATCTTCTCCATGACTGAGATTATTTGTCTTCTGATGGCCATAGCTGGCTACTAAATGTGATGCTCCACCAGCCCACATGCTGCTCAGTGAAACAAGCTCCCCAGTAGCCGATGACGTGTGGCAAGAGGGGCAAGGTGGAATAAGGCTGGACGTCCCTGGGATGAGCACGGCGTGCTCAGACCCCCACGTTGTGGGGCTGGATGCGCCTGCTGTCCCTTGGAGGACATTGAACATGTTCTGCTGGGGACAAAGGCAGAGACAGACAGATGCATGGATTGGGGTCCCTGTGGTGGGAGACCGGGTGTACATGTGCCTGGGGGAGGGAATGATGCATGGGCACATGAGCTGGTCCAGCATCGCCTGGCTGCTGCCAGCTGTCCCATACTGACCACGACTGGAGGTATGTGGGACGTGCTGTCCTCACACCATGCGTTTCGTGTACCACTCAGTCACTTGGCTCTGGCACAAACGGACTAGAACGAAGTGGTGTTGTGTCTTCTGCAGCTCAAAGCTTTTGCCCAAGCAAAGGAAGCCGCCGGGTACAGCCAGGAGGAGCTGGAGGAGACCTTTGCATTTCTCCTGTTTGATAATGAAGAAGAGGTAACCTGAAATGTTTATACAGCTTAACAAGTTTGATGCCAAGTGCCTGCACGTGTGCTCCGTCCCACTAAACCCAGCAGATCTATTGACATAAGTGTCCTGGCTCTCTTTAGCCCAGTTACCAGTGCAATTACTGCTGTATAAATAGTCCAGAACAGATTCTGAAAACAGCTCCTGGGAGGTTTTAGTGATGGATCTTATTTTGCGTGTCTCCAGTTGATTACTGTTTGAGATTTGGCTGCCTCCTTTGCCCTCTGCAGGGATATAGAAGGAGTCTCCCTTTGTCCCAGTGGATTTATGGTCAAGTACAGGCAGGTGAAACCTTTCAGGTACGCTTAGAAGAGAAAAACACCTTTGTGACAGAAGACAGGAGTTTGTCAGGTGGTTTGGGGCAAGTTCACTTGGTTTTGCCAGCTAGGTGGGGAGAGAGCCTGACACAGCCATTGGGAAAGTTACTCCTGCCCATTTTTCACAAGGATGCTTTTGATTTTGTGAAAAGGGTTTGTCTACACAAGGATGCTCAGGGAATCTAGTGGGAATTCACTTTTAACGTGATTTAATGATGCCATGCTAAGTCGCTGTAGGGATGGTTTTGTTCAGGATGAGAGTGGCCTGAATGCAGTTTAGTTCTGTTCAGTCTAGATTGAGCTACAGCAAAATAAACCACTTCCAGTCTCAGTTTGGGAGTGGGAATTGTCCCACTTCATTTTAGCTGTTTGAAATTTAGCATAGTCTGTGCCAAGTGACTGAGGTCCTCGTACAGACTCTAGGAAAGAAGGAGCTCTCCAGAGGACAGTTGGACCTCGTTTAATGCAGGCATCTAAAATCCTCGGGCTAAATTGCTCTCTGGAGGTGCCTCTCTCTCCATTGTTCAGAGGAGAGGGCTAGCTGGCTAGTCTAAGCTAGACACTTGCCTTTCAGGAGGCAGAAGTTAGGTGAGATGAGTGCCCCCGTGTTGCTTATAAAGGGACTGAGTACAGTTTGACTGGCTTGCTTTTCTTTCTCACCCCTAATGAGTTCAAACTGCTCCTATTGTCACTCTTTGGTCAATATACATTTCGTCTTTGCACACTTTGATGAATCTGCTTTGGACATGGATTAAATCAAAGCCGGTGAGATGCTCCCAAAGGCAGTAATTGTGCCTATGGAGGAGTGAGCACAGAGTAGCAAATGTCCTTTGCCTTCGTGCCTGCCCCATTTCATTTATTTTTCCACAAATTGCCCAAGCAGATAAAGAAAGCACAAAGTCCAGCCTTGCACTTGCAGTGGTTTCTGGAGATGCTGGATTTTTTCCAGATTTTTCTAAGCTTTTGCTTCCACAGTGGTTTTTGTAACAACACTTGATAAATATAAGTATTTAGTATCTGAAACAACAACTTTTCTTCCTGTGGATGTTGTGTTTCATTTTCTTTATACCCTGGGTGTTTCGGGACTGTAACAATCTGTAATTGACTTGTAGCGTGTGTTTGCCTGTTGCAAGTATTTTGCCAACTGTCGTGCTACAGATTTCAGTAGCTGTATCCCTTATCTTTGAAAATAGATGGTAAAAGAGGCTGTCTCTTCTTTTGAAGGCAAAAGAGGTGTGTCAGACAGGCCTCCGTGTAAACAGCAGTTCTATTTCCACGCTTGGTGACCCAGCAAAAGGTAAGATTTCCATTCAGAGGACCAAGAGACCTGTTTGCTGTTCTGGGGGTATCAACTCCTTTAAAAACAAAAGCAAAAGCCCAGACAAACTCCTGGTACTGCCTTGTTATTTACCGCAAAGATCCATGGAAACTCCTGTGTTTCTTACATGGGAAACTGCATTTGTTTGGATCAAGCATGCAGCAGTGTTTTCCTTCTGCCCCCTCAAACAGATGAGGATGGGATCTTCCCCAGGGAATGCTGTCGTCTCTTCACCTCTCCATTTCAGTTTTTTTTTCCCTTGTTAATAACAACCTTTGTCACCAAAGTGGCTTTTTGGCATCTCTGCCCACCGGTTTGCTCTTCAGAGTCCATTTGCTGAGCTTTTGCCGGCAGTCCTGTTAATAACCAGAGCAGATCGTGACATGTCAAAGTCCTTTTCAGTATGTGCTTGTTCCTTGCCCAAAGGTCTGGGGCCTCAAGGTGTGCAGTGCAGGACGTGTTACTCAAAGGAATCCTTCTGCCAGAAGCAGAACGTCTCCCAGTGCTCATCCTGCAAGCCTTTGCAGGCCAAGACACCTATTTATTGAACAGTCAATGGCAGTGAATGCAAAACCAAGCAAGAACGGGGTATTTATCTGGGTGTATATCTTAGTCCTGATGGACTGAGATGAATATTATGGTGTGTCTCTTTGTAGCCCTTCCCCTGCCCAGTCCCTGGTTTCCCCCCCCCCCATGTACTTCTCTACCCATCTTGTCTACAAATATAAGGCAGGAGTGAAGAGCCAGCGCTCCCCCCCAGTAAATCCACATATGATGTGCCCTGAGCATGGAGAAGGGATAGGAATAAGCCATGTCGGAATAGGCCTTGTCACAGGGTAGAAGGTTCACGTTGGCATCTGGGAAGGGCCATAAAGAGCCAAGGAATGGGCCTGGGAGGGTCTGTGCCTTGCCATGGGCCTGCTCTTGTGGCCTTGCAGTGTGTGTTGCCCACGTATAAACATCCACGTTGCCTTCGCATGACTCCAAATTGAGCAAAGTACCTGCCCCACTTGCAGTCTGGCCTGGAAGCCCTTCACCAGATCTTCCTGTAAGAGACAAGCCCTCGCTCGGTATGTTTTCATGTAGTGTGGGCAAAACTGACGTTAGCTGAGCTACTTCTCCCAGGAGGAGCCCATGTTAACTCCTTTCCTAGAGCTGACCCTGAAACATATAATGATATAATGCTGTTCCATACCAGCAGTGAAAAAAAAGGAAAAGAGTCAGAGTTTCACACTTTCTGTGGCAGCAAGTGCTACTGTGGTTTGCAGCACTGGCTCTGCAGAGACTCCCATTCCCGCAAGGAGGGTCCTCTTTACAGGGTTTTTTTGGCAATCAGCTTTACTCGATAAACGATTCACGTTATCTTGCATTGCTTTGTTTTCACAGGGGTTTATATTTCCAAGTATGCAGACTGTCTTCATCCGAGACCCTGGTATCACGGAAAATCGGGCTATATTGTCATTTGTAAGCTAATTAAGGTAAAATGCAAGTCTTTCTTTTTATGTGGAATGGTTTTCAGAAGCCACTGTACAGTGCAAGCAGTTTTTAAGGAGACATTGGCACCCGTAACTGTGGTGGGGTGGGCTGTAAAATCAGCTCTGAGAGCTCATTGGGATTTTTGACTATGGGATATGTCAGACTAGAAAGCAAGAGATCAGACTGGGCTTGGCTGGTGGCCTGCAGCGGGGCAGAAGATGCAGTGGACCTTGCAAATTCCACCACTGAGATCAGAAATTCCCCATAGGGTCACCTTTTTCTCTGGACTCTCGTGCATTTGGGAGGTTTGAGGGGGTAACCTTCAGGTGGCTGAGATCACAGCCTCATTCCCTTCCTCCATGGGGCTGGTGTGTGGTACCTTTCTCCCCTCCTCACGGGCTCCTGCTCTCTGTAGCTGACATGAAAAGCACACTGCTCCCGTTGGCTCTCCTTAGCAGCGCTGATTTGTCTGTTGTGCCGAGCTCGGCCGAGTCAGGCCCTCCTGTTTGGAAGGACGCAAATGCACACAGCCCCCTCACAGCGGGGAATGTGGGGCTGCCAGCAACACTGTCTTTGGGGAAAAGGAGGATTCAGGGATCTTTTAAAATAAGTTTCTGCAAAAAATAATGCCTGTTTTTTTTTTTTTTTTTTTTTTTAATTTTCTGGTACAGGGGAAGGTCAAGGTGGTATCTGAGAATTACACAACCAGCTATACCTGCCCATCTCCCGGCTATGACTGCCACGTCGCCATGAGCAGAAATAACGTACCATCAAAGACCAGCGACTGCCAGGCCTTCGAGCAGAGCCAGGTATTGGTTTGCAACAGGACTGTGCAGACAGCTCACTTGCGGGCCGCAGGGGAGCACAGCGCTGGCCCGGGTGCCTCGCTCGTTCCTCAGCGTGTTTTTTTCATCAGTGTTTCCCTTCTCACCCCAGTATTACGTGTATGAAGTGTCCGACGGCAGCACTGCAGAGCGCCCCAGGCAGATCTGCCCATACATAGTCATCGCCTGCCAGTACAGGGAGCCGAAGGAAATGCCCGTCTTAGCTATAGAGAGCCTGTAAGCAACTTGTCGTTCCAAAATACCCGGTCGTTTTTGTGGGCTGTTTTCCTTTTCCCATTGCTAAATGTTCCTCTTTTTCTCCCTTTTCTCTAGACCTGAGCTTAACCACAAAGGTAGGAGCATCTGGTCGTTGGTTTTGTTTTATAAATGTACCTTTCTCTGTTTGCCCTCCTCTCCTGCTTTCTCTGAGCCGTTCTCCCTTTTGCCTGTAGCATTGTACTGTCCATGGAGGGGACGGCTCTCCATCCGGGGCCAGCTCTTGTGCAACATCGCCCTGAGGACCCCATACAGCTCCACGATTCCAGCCCAGCTGTAAGTTGCCCCTTTCTCTTCTTTCTGTGCAATTTGTGGAGTGTGAAGCATTACAGCCGCTCTTGCGGATCGTTTTGGCATCACCTTTGGTATCTGCGTACCAGCAAAAGACGGTTTTGTCTCTCCTGCCCCATTCCTTCATTGATCAGCATCTTCTTGCAGCTGTACCAATTTACCACCTGCGTGGTCAGAGGGAATCGTCAGTGTCGGGAAAGTGATGTTGGGCAGCCAGTGGTGCAGTGTCACAGCAACAGCTGGATAAGGACATGAGATCAGGCCCTGAACTGAAACGGCTGTATTTTGTTATCTTTTTTTTTAACTGCTTTGGGATGTTTATTCCAAATCAATTACTCCTGCTTGGGATTTTTCTCCTTGTAAGAATTGGGCTTCCTGATGATGCACGTACGATCAGCCAGTTGTGTTTACAGATCGGCACGATGGCAAATAAAGTATTGAGGTAACTAGCGTTCAAAAAAATGAGATATTTAAAATCTTCAGTAGTCAGAAGCCAACCAGCGGGCAACAATTTGAAACAGCCAGTGACACAGCCACCAATATCAGTGTTTGGAGGTGTTTACAAACGGGATCCTCAAATCAGCAAAGTGCTAAGCAAGCTGTACCTTCTCCAGCTCTCTCTCGAGATGCTTTCTCTGGTTTCACAGTGACAGGGCAACCAGGACTCTTTGCTGTGCTTAATCCTGAGAGCCTTTTTTGCTTGTGATCTCACCTTCTGCTGCTTTATCCCCACAGGCCTCCCAACCTGGACATTAACCATGTCATGGGTTTGTCCGACTTGAAGAAAAAGCTACCAGAAGCTGCATTTGGGAAAAGAAATTACATTGAGAATGAAGGTGAGTGCAAAACCTGCTGGCATGATGAGTAACATGTGCTTGTGCTGTGCCATAGGAATTGCCGCAGGGGGTCAGAGCTCAGGTCCACGTAGCACTGGGTCCTGTTTTGAAGGGTTGCTGATTGCAGATAAGCGAGGAAAAATGCCAAGGCAGCACAGGGATGTTTTCCTGTCCACGTTTCATATGGTTTCCTGGTGTGATACAATCCTCTTCCCAAAGCAGCCCTTTATCGGCCTGTTCCTGGGATAGGACAGGGTGGGAGACCCTGTTTTGAGACCTGGGCTCCCATCCTGCAAGGTGCCAAACGTGGTGCAACTGAGAGCAAATGCAGGGAGACAAACTTTCCCCTTCTTACATGATCTCCCTACGAGGTGAGGGACACTCCGCCTCTTCGGGTCTGACCCAGTGTCTCCTGCATCTGGGTGAATGGGGGAAGCTGCCAGCCAAAGCCAAAAGATGTGGCTGCCTGCAGTAGCTTTGGGTCACGGATAACCTACTTGTCGCTCCAAGGGGACTGACAGTGACAGTGAATGGCAGCGGGAGAGGGGAGAGGCCTCCAGAAACCTTGGGGAGAGGCAGGGAATGCTCAGCAATCAGCAAATAAAAGCACAGCTTTGGGGAAGGGAGAAGGGCTCTACTGTCCCCTTAGAGGTGCTGAGAGACCCTACGTGCCTATAGTCAACCACTCTCTGTCCTGGTTAGTGCAGGGTGGGGAGGAGGGGACCTGTGTCTAATTACGCTTTGGGGTTCGTACTGCTGATTGATTTTTGGGTTGGAGTTTTGACGAGCCTGGCAGCTCTCAGCCCCAAGGTGTTGAGCTCCCAATGGCTGTGAGTGGCTGCGCATTGCAGCGGACACGCAGTTACTGACACGGATACTGCAGGTTGCACATGGAGAGCTCTGGATGTGCTTTGCAGAAGCTCCAGGTACATTTCCATGTCGTCTTGCACCAAAATAAGCGTGGGCTGCTGCAGTGTTGCCTCCTATCTGCGTATCAGCTCTGCTGAGCCAGGTCGGGGCACTGATCGGACCGGCTGACAGCCAGCCTGTTTTGGGGGTTAGCATTCAGCTCACAGTGCAGATGGACACAGGATAGTGCCAGGGGCAGGGGAGGAGGCAGGAGAAGTGGGGGAGGCCACAGCAGCACATGATGAAGGTGCCGTGGAACCACAGTCTTACGGTCGGCTGATGAAAGAGAGGAAATACTTGAACAGAAGAATTCAGAGGGGTAAGGTGGGACTGAGATCTTGCCTTTGTTAAACTCCCTTGGGGATCAGAGTGCAGAATAAGGATACTCCATAGCTGGGGAGAGTATGGCATGTTAGAATGAGGTATTTCCCTCTGAAAGGCTCCCTGTCTCTGTTGAAGCACACAGCATTGGTTAAATTGCTTTTGTTAGCTGCAGATACAACGTAGGAAACATCTCCTATGAACCATGGGTTGAAGAGGAAACTCACTGCGATATGAATGCATGTACCAGCTTAGGAAATCTTGAGAAGTTTGTTTTGGTTTTTTAAAACCCAGCGCTTCTACCAATTGCACACCCATCTTCCTGGTACAGGAGCACTTGTTTGTTCAGAGTTCATGCAGGAGGCACTATTTCAACATCAAATTCTCTCTCTTTTGTTTGCAGTCTGCTTTCAGGGTGTTTACTTCAGTCTGTATGAAGTAGAAATATCAAATAAGGATCAATATAAAATGGATCAGTTAGTAGAAAATCTAAAGGAAAAGGACTTGGTAAGTATTTTAAAACATTGTCATTCTGGGAGGAAAGTGGCGTTTTAAATGATCTCTTGAAACTTTTGGTAACATTATTGACAGATTCTGAACTAATGCAAAATGGAATTAATTTCCCTGCTTTTATTATTATTTTCCTGCTTGGTTATTCTCAAACGTAGTTTAGTCTTTCTGTACATAAACTGTTAACTGAAGATTACCCACTATGAGCTGGGAACTGATCTCTAGGCTGAGCATGCCCTGCTGAGCAGAAGGCATTATATGAGGCAAACCTCTTCTTTGGCCATGTTTATGTCAAATGAGATTATTTTATTATCTTTATTAATGATTCTCCCCCTGCACTGCAAACGGCATGGTGGACAAGGACTGCAAGGGGATCTTATATATTAAGAAAGCAGAAGCAAAGTCCCCCAGTGCCAGAATGATAATTACTAAGCAAAAGACATAAGCTGTCACGTGCCCGCCTTTCTCCCTCGTGGCTGAAAAATAGCCCTCTCTCGGCTAGATACTCACAGTTACGCTGCTGAAACCTCATGGGCTTCCGTGAGCTCTGAAGATGTTGAGATTTATCCTTTTTTTTAATGGGGAATTTCCCTTGTGATATATTATCTGATAAGGCTTTTTTCCAGCACACTGGGGTCTTTTTGTTCCTAGTGTGATCGTCACATCTCCTTGTGACTCCAACGGATGAACTTCACCCCTGTGGAGCACAGCACCTGCGTCTCTGCTGGGATTTGTGTGGTTGGTTTGGCTTTGGCTTTGCTGCTGGTGGTTGCTCTCTCACATCTGATGCTTTCTGTAGATTCAGGGTTGTGAATTCATGGTCGCAAACTCGCAGCTGGCTGGGCATGTCCTCCCCTCGTTATAAGCTGGCAGCAGCCCATGAACTGCCTGGAAGTGCTGTCGCTGTGCGGCACTGCTGAAGAGCTGCCCGCCGATGTGCAGCTTCCCGCATGTAAGGTACCACAGCAAGCGTTTGTTGTGGAACCCTGTAAAAAAACCACTCTGACTCCCTAAAGTGTTGATTTAAACTATCTTTTATCGGTAACAATATGAGAAGAAAGACAATCTTAATGTCCCTTCACGTGCGGGTAATCCTGAAGTGTGCAGCATCAGTTGGACCTCTGGTTGGAGCACAGATCTGTCTGTGTTGCAGCTCATCTTGAGGTTCCTGGCATCTGAAGGGACATAAGCTTATCTACGCTATCCCTTTTTAATTCTCCTGTTCTCACCAATAAAAGATACTTTAATCAATACTTTACAGAGTCCAAGTGCCTTTCTTACTGCAATCTGTGACAACTGCTTATTCCGGTGCATTACACCATGCCTGCAGCCACTGAGGGTTATAACATACATCCTGCCAAGCCCAGCAGAGCTGGGCTCTCTAGAGGAGCCAGGGAAGGTGAGGTAGTTGAGTTGTGGCTGTGAGCAGTGTGGTATTGAAAGCCATCAGGAGCATCATTTCCCTAGAGCTTCTCCACCCTCATATATCTGTTAAACTGGATTAAAATCTCCCCCCTATTTCAACGAGGAAACAGTCACAGCCCATTTTGGGTGTGCTTCTTCCCTCCCCTTAACGTGCTGTTGAATGGCCCATGGGTGAATCCGCCTTGGCGGCAGCTCCCAAAAGTGCGAATGAAAAATGCCCTCCGTCTCCTTTCCCTTTCAGTGGTGCATGGGCCAGGCACCTACCTTGCGCAGGGCCCAAGTGAAAATGAAAGGGTGGCTGGGGCTAGGTGGGGTTGCCTGAGGCCAGCTGCACTCCTGTGGCTGCTGAGTGATGACTCTCAGCTCTGTGTCAGGTGGCTGCTGCCTTATGGCTTGACTTTCCTCCTTACCTGCCTGAAGATCATCTTGTCGGTGGGAAACCACAGCTATTTCATTGAGCTGGGTTTATGCAGCAGAGATGCTGACTCTTATCCCGTCTGCTGTGCTGGCTTGAGACAACCAAAGCAAGGAGCTACTGTCCTGAATGGTGAATATTACACTGAAATTGTTCAGCATTTCCAAAGTTGTTCCATTGTCCTGGAGAAGTGAGGCTGTGGGCATTAGTCCAATCCTCTGTTATGTCTGAACATACTGAAGGGGATCAGCAAAGTTTCACAGAGCATTAGAAGCCCTAGGGTTATTCGGTTCCTGTAATTTTCCTGAAAAGATGTGTCTGCGTGGAAGAAAGAGATCCAAATGGGTGTCCCCGCAGAGGGACAGGCAGTCCAAGCCAAGCTCTGCAACATGGCATCAAGCAACACCCAAACACAAGAAGAGCCTCGATAAGTGCACCTATCTTCTTAGACATGTGGTCATCCAGCTCTGAGACAGAGTCGCAGGAGTTTCTTAGACGCAGCAAATTTTTTTTCACGTATTCATTGATACTGATGCTGCTAATAAGCAAGCTGCACGGCCTGAACTTCAGTCAGGCTTGTGGCTGGAACAGTTGGTTGTGTTTTGTCAGATGCTGGTGTCCAGCTTTGCTTTCCCTGCTGGGAAAACCTTCCCCTTGGGCTGCAGAAAGCAATTCCTGGCTGAGATGCCCAGGAGCTTTTGAACTGAAGGGACAAAAATTATTAACCTTGTTCACTAACTGCAGCTAGTTTGGCTAAGCATATTTATTTTTTAAGGAACAGATGGGAGGAATTTGGGAGCTGAATAACAACAGAAACAAAATGCTTTCGGTTACAGGTCCCAGTTATCCCAAGTGGCATGGTCCGAACAGTGTCCTCCTCAGCAGGGAATGAGCTGTTGGTGTTGGCACCCATTCACCGGCAATCAGGGCTTGTTGACAGTCATGTTGAGTGATGTAAAGTGTGCTAAGGAGGAAAGGGAGTGGTTGCTCTAACTTTCTGTGTGTTTGTTATAGGCAATCATCAAATATTTACAAGATCAAGGAGTCCTTATCCTCCTCACGTCCTCTGCCTTGGCACGAGATGATGGTAAGACGTGGCTACGTAGAAAACAATGTCTGTGGTTAAATATCCTGCTCTGTTTTAGAGATGGAGGGTGGGCACCCTCAGTCTAAACAAAACCTGTTGCTTTCTTTCATAGGGTTTGACCCTAAGGAGCCCGTCAGCCTCCTGGCCCTGTTTCTGTTCACCTCGTCCCGGTCGGTGTGCCTGAGAGGTAGGGAGGTTCCCTTTGCTGGCTTCAGACACTGTGTTTTGGGGGTGGGATCCTCACCAGAGGATTCTTGTAGACACGTTCCTCTTGAAGAGCTGATTTCTCTGCTCAGAACCACCTACAGCTTTAGCGCGAAGGGTGTTAAAAGAGGGGAGAAAAGTCCCAACTCTTTAGCTATGCTGCATTTTAAGCTGATCTAAACCAGCTTGCCTGCCTTGCCCATTCACTGCACATCCTTGCCCCTTTGCAGGAAGTTGATGGGAGTGACAGATAATTACTTTTCTCCCTCGCAGTCAGTTTTCAGCAGCATCCACTCCCTCAACTGTCTTATGTGTGCACACGGGAGTCTGACTCTTGCAGAGCCTGGTTTACATCTCTAAAGGTGCACTGGAGCCGTGCTCAGGGGGGCGAAATGACATATGGTGCTCGCTGGACCCTGCACAGAGCTGATGTGATTTGCTAAACCAGCAGGAAAACAGCCTGCCCTAAAAAAATAACTGAATTGTTTTCTGTTGAGATAACAAGTGAAACGGGCTCCGTGAAAGGTTGCTGCTAGGGTGGGCAGGGGGAGGAAAGGTGGGGAAGGGGGCATTGCTCGCTAAAGAGCAGCGAGGGTTTGGAGGCTCAGCCGTATTGTGTGACTTCTCTGCTGTGGGCTCCATAAAAACTGGTGGCAGAGCCATGATGACCGGTCAGGATGCGTGATGGCTGAGGGAGGGAGGCGGGGAGATGGTGTTGGGCAGAGCTGCTTTGCTGCCATCAAGGTGAGTCACGGCTCTGGGACCTGGGAGGTGAATCCAGGCTGTTTGCAGCTCCAAAACGTGCTTCTTTTCATGCAGAACAAATGCAGAGGTACTAAATAAGAGAAAATAAAGATTGCACAGTTTGAACCTGCAGATCTTGAAATAAGAACGAGCTTCAACCTCTGTTCCATTTGCCTCAAATTTTCTCCGTATATGTTGGCTTTATACTGCACTGTCTGTGGAAATATTCATGCTGCAGTTTCCTCTTGTGGACATAAAGAAAGTTACTGCCCTGCCTCCCCGGACAGCTTCATCTGCGCACCTCTCACTGCAGCCACCTCACCAGTAATACTTCAAGCAACATATAAACAGGGGCCTTTTGCTCTGCGTAACTTCTGGCTTGCTTTTTGTTGAGTCATCTAGGGACAAGCCAAGAGCCTGTTTACGCCAGCACACGCTGGTATTTCAGTCCGCCTCTGAGTGAGTGATGGCTGGCATTGCCGACAGAGCTGCACAGGACATACCCATCTCCCCTCCCCGGAAGATAAAATTGGTAGAAGAGCCGACAGAACCCACCGGCACATCTGAGCATGGATTGCTTTGTCTTTTTTGGTGTTTAACCTCCAACTATAAACTTTCTCCTTCGGGATCTGCATACGAAGTGGGCTTGTAAGTCGGGTGAAGACGTGATGGTAACTTGGCAGTGTGGGGTGCGAATGTCTTTGATGCCTGAATTCAGTCAGCTGAACTTTAAGGACGTGCTGCCGGTGGCTGCGTTACCGTGGCAACTTTTCTAGTTTCTTTTCTAGATGTAGGAGAGAGCCAGGCTCTGCTAGAAGCAGACTGAAGATCCAAAGGGCCAGGTCAAACCTGAGATCAGTGCATTGTTGCTGTGATACCTGAAGCAAGGGCCTGAAGTTGGGTGAGGTGAAGGGAGAAAATGCCTGGAGACCAGACTGGAGGTGGGAACTGGCCACCCAGATATTGAGATCCTGCTGACCAGCCCCGCAGCGGTCAGAAAATACCCTTCAGAGCAGAGGTATCTATTCCTGAAAGGCTGACTGCGAGCACTGTATGCTGGGGGAGAGGAGAACAGGGCAAGGAGGTGTTTATCTTGAAGAGGGTTATTGTGGAAGAAGGTGGTGGAGACAGGAGAGGGCACCATGCGGAAGGAGCATCCTGGAGTGAAGACAGTGCAAGCAGCCAGTTTGTAGGAAGGTTTGGGGCTGTAGGAGACGTTGCCTGTGGCTGGTGTTGATGCTAAAGAGGAGGCAAAGCCTAGGCAGCCAGAGAGCAGCTGGTGGCAAAGCGAAGAGGCAGGGGGAGAGGATAATGTTGAGCAAACGCTCCATGTTGTTACGTGTCGTGATCTGAATGTTGATGGCTTCCAGATGTTTTCCCTCTGGTGCCAGCAGGACTCTTGCACGTGCTGTCTCATTCTGCCTACGCAAGCGGCATTACCCCAGCCAGCCCTGACTGTCCCCTGGGGCCGAGACCTCTTCTCACTGGGATTATAAACCCTTTTTGCTTTAGGGCTTCTCCTTTCTATGAAGATAAGCGGAGCTGTGCAGGGGTTTGGGGTTGAAAAGGGATGGTCACTGAAGACAGCAGGGGAGATGCAAAGAGAAGAGGAGGGTGAAGGACGGACGCATTTGAAGTCGCTCAGCTCAGACTCGAAGCATAAATAATGTTTCCCGTTTCGAAACAAGCAGCCTCTGAAGCTGTTCCTTTCCTGTCCAGACAGCCGTCGGGAGGAATGTAGGGCAGGCGTAGCAAGCCTGCTGTGCAGACGTGCCGCAGCGTTCCTGAGCCAGCAGCGGAGGCAGGCAGCTGGGATCTGGCTCGTGGGGACGCCTGGGCTTGCCGGTAACAAGGACCGGCATTTCCAGTGCAAGGCAGCAGCAGGGCCAATAGGCGAAGAAAATCATGCATCTGGGACAGGAAGAGAAATGCCTTTGCCTTGCTGGGAAGAGATGTGACGGGGAAGGGCACTGGAGTTGTCAGCCTGGCCCTGCAGCCAAAAGAAACCTCGGAGTCAGATCATAACACGCAGATGGGCCAAGCCTGCGGATGCAAAGCGCCAGCATCAGACTGCTGGGTTGCAGTGGATGAAGCCGGATAAGTCTGGCTTGTGCAGAAAGGGAGCTCCACTGACAGGCTCTGCATATCACACCGGCTCTCCAGGCGTTTCCAGACACCGAGAGGACGCTGCTATGCCAAGCAGAGCCTACTTCCATGGTGACATCTGCGAGGGCAGGCACCCTCGAGCTTTGGGACTCGTTCATGTTGATCCCTATTGGGAGCTAAACTTTTATGATACTATGTGTTGTACGTGGTAGGGGTTAGTCCTGTTTTTTGCAGCTGTTTTCAGTAGGAGCAGTCCCTCAGCTTTAGAAAATCACCCAGGGGTTCATGTTCTTTATTTTATACGGTCCCCAGGTCTGCTTGGGGAAGCCTGTGTTCCCCATCCTACTCCGGAGCGCTAATGTGGTGTCTTCATGTGAACTGCGTCTACCTACGCTGACAGCAGGTAGCAGGTAGAGGTGGAGCTGCTGGAAGTTGCATCTGAACAGGGACATAAACAACACAAGTGATCTGAAAATGGCGCTAGTCTAAACACCCTGCATGGGCAACCCTAAATTTAAACAGGTTTAAAAAAAAACCAACAAAACCCGTGTATCTTCAGAGCTCTGACTGTTCTAAATGTTGGATTTAGCGAGAATTGCTGGAATGAAGGGACTTAGACCACTATGTGTGCAATCTCACCCTGTATTTTCCTGCAGAACGTGGCTAGCTGATACAACAGCAGTCTTTCATCTTAGTTTAATCCACTTTTGACTCCCACGTGCAATTCTTTTTTACCTTCAGCAGTTACAAGCACCCATCAAACCAGGACATCATCCCTGGGGCTAGCTTTTTGTAGGCTGGCTTCTGGGGCTTTTTCATAGCTTTCATGTTCTCTTAGCATGTAACTGTGAGGTGATTTCGGGAATTTTAATATGAGTAAAATTCTGTTCTTTTCCTTTAGCAGTTGAAAAGCACGATCCAAAAGATGAAAGGGAAGATAGTGCCAATAGTGACATCTCATTAAAAATAGCCTCAGTTTTGCCTGGACTTCGCTATGCTTTACAGAAAGTCACCAGTTCTTCCTGGGGGGACACAGTCAGCACCAACATACGTATCAAACAGCACTTCCAGGAATACGCAAAGCTTGATCAAAATCCACAGCCCGCCTCTGGCCAAACCAGCAAAGTTCCCCTTTCTTCTTTCCTCTCACCAACTGAGGATGAATGTACTAATCCCTTCAAAAAACGCTCAGAGCAGTCCTTCTCCCAGCTGCAGCATTATCTCTCTGATCCTAGAAGCTATACTCTGGAAATGTCGGCTGCCTTAGGATGTTTGACTGGTGCTGTTCAGTCCCTTTGCTGCGATTCAGAGGCTGATTGTAAAGTGGACTTCTCTTCAGCTGTGCCACCAGACCCTATTCCTCCCAAAACAGCAGTGGAAATAAAAGTCAAAAGTGAAAACCCAAAGCCCACAGTTGAGCTGGACCAGAGTGGTGAAGGGCCCGCAAAAGACGTCAACTCGGCCAGCAGGCTATGGCTGCAGCAGAGCAGGAGGAGATCCAGCCGAGCCGTTGTGACCAGCACCAGGAAGAAATGGTCACCCCTCAAGATGCAAATGCATCCTATGGGGGACAGCGGCAGGAACAGGAAAGCAACCAAGAAGAAAATCAGCATCGCTTTCTCTTTTCCTAAAAAGCCAGGGCTCATGGCCAATTCCAACGAGCCCATGGTTAAATTAGCCAATTTGCAGTTTCCGCACAGAAGGAAAAGAGGTAAGTGCTATATAAATGGGACTGGCTTCCTCCTGCTTCTCCGGGGTATCCGGCCGGGATACTGAGGGTTCACTAGGACCCATGTCCCCTCGCCATCTTCCCGGGTGCCCAGAGCAAGCAGACGCCTTCTGAGAGCATCCAACTATGTCTGTGGTGATGTCTCCACAGTCTCTCGTTCAACCTGGGGAGGAGCCCAGGGCTATGACAAGGGATTTCAGTGAAGGTGCCTGAAACCTCGGTGCGGTGGTCCATGCTGTTGCCTTCCTTTGCTTAGGAGTGACTGTGCACAGGGACATCAGCCAGATCATGGTTATTGCATCACTTGTGCACAGGCTGTCGATGGCTCAGGCAAGGAGGAGTTGCCAAAGCTGTGGTCATTACAGGCTGCCTAGATAACCAGCTACCCTGCATGGTCACGTTGTGACTCCCTGAGAGTCCACTTTCTTGCTGTGGCCTTGAGGCAACAAGAAGTGTGAGACTGATCACAGCCAGTGTACTCTTCTGAAAGCTGGTGTCTGGCCTGAGCCGCTCATGCAAGGTGTCTCAGTGGCATAAATTGTCCTCTGAAGGCTCCTGTCTTGCTGCCAAGGATAGGCTAAGCCTGTCCTTTTGAGCCAGCCTGAGCCTCCACCTGATTTGTAGAGACACTCAAAGTGGGTTGAGATTAATCTCTACCTTGGTGATGAAACGTGGCCGTAAACGTCCAAAGGAATCTCTCCTGGCATTTACATACATCACAGGTAGCGGCAGCGACTGTGGAAATGGGCTGTCATGCAGCACAGGGGGTGGCATGGTGTCTGCCCACTGTGGGCTGAAGTCGGCTCCAATTCACAGTCCATCAAGCTCTGTCCTGGGGCATGTTGTCTCAGGCCCGAGTGACATTGCTGGTGGATCTGGGAGAATCATAGAATCATTAAGGTTGGAAGAGACCTCCAAGATCATCGAGTCCAACCATCAACCCAACACCACCATGCCTACTAAACCATGTCCCTAAGTGCCTCATCTACCCGTCTTTTAAATACTTCCAGGGATGGTGACTCAACCACTTCCCTGGGCAGCCTGTTCCAATGTTTAACCACTCTTTCAGTAAAGAAATTTGTCCTCACGTCCAATCTAAACCTCCCCTGGCGCAACTTGAGGCCGTTTCCTCTCGTCCTATCGCTTGTTACTTGGGAGAAGAGACCGACCCCCACCTCGCTACAACCTCCTTTCAGGTGGTTGTAGAGAGCGATGAGGTCTCCCCTCAGCCTCCTTTTCTCCAGGCTGAACAACACCAGCTCCCTCAGCCGCTCCTCATCAGACTTGTGCTCCAGACCCCTCACCAGCCTCGTTGCCCTTCTCTGGACATGTTCCAACATCTCAACATCCTTCTTGTCGTGAGGGGCCCAAAACTGAACACAGTATTCGAGGTGCGGCCTCACCAGTGCCGAGTACAGGGGCACTATCACTTCCCTGCTCCTGCTGGCCACACTATTCCTGATACAGGCCAGGATGCCATTGGCCTTCTTGGCCGCCTGGGCACACTGCCGGCTCATGTTCAGCCGGCTGTCCACCAACACCCCCAGGTCCTTTTCCGCCAGGCAGCTTTCCAGCCACTCTTCCCCAAGCCTGTAGCGCTGCATGGGGTTGTTGTGGCCGAAGTGCAGGACCCGGCACTTGGCCTTGTTGAATCTCATACAGTTGGCCTCGGCCCATCAATCCAGCCTGTCCAGGTCCCTCTGCAGAGCCTTCCTACCCTCGAGCAGATCAACACTCCCGCCCAACTTGGTGTCATCTGCAAAGTGACTGAGGGTGCACTCGATCCCCTCGTCCAGATCATTGATAAAGATATTGAACAGAACTGGCCCCAAAACTGAGCCCTGGGGAACACCGCTCGTGACCGGCCGCCAACTGGATTGAACTCCATTCCCCACAACTCTCTGGGCCCGGCCGTCCAGCCAGTTTTTGACCCAGCGCAGAGTACGCCTGTCTAAGCCATAAGCCGCCAGCTTCTCTAGGAGAATGCTGTGGGAGATGGTGTCAAAGGCCTTACTGAAGTCCAGGTAAGAGGTTCTTGTGCGCTTGGAGAGGTAAATAAGTACCCTCAGGGTGCAAGGGTGCCAGGCAGGCGTTAGAGTGACTTATCCCCAGAGAACATCTATTCTAGGTCAGAAAAGCAAGGCTTTTAAGGAGCTTAAGAAGTGATGCTTAATTTTTAATAACTGCTTACTGATCACTCGCATCAGTAACAAACCCATTTGTAAGATCAAATGCATAAGTCAAGTCACTGAAGACTATGCTGCTGCTGCCAATCACTTCTAGAGCATTTTCCTTAACTGGATATTTTGTAATTACTCCTTTTTAATCTGAATATGTCTCAAACCAAAACAAATGCCCTCCCTTTTCCTTGTCCCAGGTGCGGAGGTCCTGTCTGCAGAATTTGTGCACAAAATACAGTCTGAACCTGTCCAGAAGGAAACCTCAGCTCCCGACGATCCTGGCTTGGAAACAAAGAGACCAAAGACGCTGAAGAACCCAGACATGGAAAAGGTTCCTGTTGCTGAGACCGTCACGAAGCCAGTGAAAAGTAAGATGCTAAAAAGTGCGGCTAACAACCCATCAAAACCTCAAGCCAAAAAGCAAGTAGAAAGCGGTAAGTGCGCTGTTCCCTGTGGAAATCTTTCCTTTAAAAGCTGAGCTGTCAAACATCACGGACAGGTCATGACCAGATGGTAGTAACAGAACGTTCGGCAGCAGCCAAAGGGCCTTACGACATTTAGTGCTGAGGGTCTGGATTGGGGTCTGAGTGCTGCTGCCCTACAGCCTGCAGGCTCCCAGTTAGGCGCTTACAGTGTAAAATATGAAGGCGACCGTGAAAATCGCCGTTACAGGATGTCCAAACCACACGGGGTCTATTCTGAGTCCTTTCCTAAGCCCCCAGTTTGCATCCTTGGCAAACTGCTGGGATAGTTTAAAACAGCCTGATTTTTAACTGCTGAGCTCTGAAACTGTGTTGAGGCAGCTCATGGACAGAGTGTTATAACCTCTGCTCGTAGCCGGCGTCTGCCTAGATTTTTAGTCCATTACATTATAAATCCAGTCATTTTAAAAAGAGTCGAATTGTCGCAGCCTTCGCAGACAGACTGCAGCGGATTTAAGAGGCAGCGTGGACAGCCCCTGAGTGTAGCGTCTGCAGGTGCTGGCTGGGAGTCTGCTGTTAAACTGAGAACCAGTATTACGGTGCCAAACTAAATGATGGAACAGGAGAGTCATTTTCTGTTAATTTGTCGTGTTTTCTCACACGCGCGCTTTGATGTCCTTTTTCAGATCTGTCTCTGGTCTTTCTTTTTCCCCTTCCTGGGGGAGGTGGAGGCTTTGGAGACTGGTTTAGCCACCTCGGCTCAGTTTATCCATTCGTCTTGGTTTTTTATCGCCACGTGTTCCTGAAACGTGACACTTTTCATCAGTGTGTGTGTATCAAACGTTGCCTCTGTCATGTGGAGGTTCCCGGAGCGTATCTGGCCAGTGCTCTCACACAGGCAGGGAGTCAGATGGGGCCTGCTGAATGCCAGGATCTGCCAAAAATCCAAAATAAGAGTGTTTAGGAGTAAGAAATACTCAGTTTATATGTCTTCCTATGCTGTTCCCAAGGAAATTAAATGTAACACATAGGACTTTAGCACAGATGTGATTTAATAAGGTTTTACTTGAAGAGAGATTTTTGTGCTGGTTTTTAGTAGAAGGCATTAACCTTGTTTAATGACTTCATACTGTTTTTATGAACATGGGCCCTGAGCCATGGTGAGGGACATTTTTAACACTGAAAACTAAATGAACACCTAATTTGCTGTGCTCTGACTGCCTTTGGGATTCCCCAGGTTTCTGCATGTGCTCTGAAGTACAGCTCAGGTACAAGTTATGCCCTTGAGAGGGTGTGCAGTGGGAAGCATGAGAGCAGCGTGGTTTTTCCTCTGTGTTTTAGAGGGTTTTTTTTGTGACTGTGGATTATTGGAAGCATAGCACAGGCTTTATCTGTGAAAATTGCAAAATATGGCAACTGGAAGAAAATGTAAAGGGAAAAAGAAGATTAAGGAAACACTTATATCTCAGGTTGTATTTAAGTAGCCAAACTACCCTATGCACAGAGGCCGAGGGACATTTTGTTCACTCTGGATCCCGTGCCTTTTATTTCTGAGAATAAACCCCTTTCCTGAAGTTGCTTATATCCCAACTCTGGATCCTTTTGTAGCAGCCATGGAGGTGGTTTTGTAGCATGATCATGGAGGTGGTTTTTTTTAAGTGTGCAAATTCCATGTTGGAGAGACACTTTTTTCCTGCCAAACTGAAAGCCTGCTTTGAACCCCTTCTCGAGGCAGAGCTCTGTGGCCTTCGTTTGTTCTCTGACTTTGTTTTTCTCATGCAGAGTGGAAGGAGCCATTCTCTGTCCTCCCGAGTGAAGTTTCTTCCCAATGCCACGGAGCAGATAGCCAAACGAGTGAGACTTACCCAGGCGGGGTCGCTGATCTCGGTTTTGATCTGAAGGGGAACGACTACGAGTCCCACGCCTTGAACTTGCTGGCTGATCTGGCTCTGGGTTCTTGTATTCCTTCATTTATCCCCAGGGACAGCGGGATGATCGCTGTGTCCTGCAGCCCCTCCAGCGACTCTGCAAAGGAGCAGCAGAGTCATCGCAAGCACAAATCCTTGCGTGTTGCTTCCGACCATGAATACCACAGGGTAGATAAGCTTGCAAAGGGAGCCACCTCTCCTAGCAA